AAGGAAGGAAGGAAGGAAGGAAGGAAGGAAGGAAGGAAGGAAGGAAGGAAGGAAGGAAGGAAGGAAGGAAGGAAGGAAAGAAGGAAGAAAGAAAATTATAGATATGCCTTAGATATGTGTGTGTGTGTGTGTGTGTGTGTGTGTGTGTGTGTGTATGTGTATGCATTCGTTAGACATACAGATATATAGATGCATACATTTATAGATGCATATATTTCCCTGGGACCAAAAATGAGACAAAAACAGTAAAGAAAAGTTGATGCTACATTCTTTATCATTCACCACATTTTCCTTTTTTTAAAGTATCTGATATTCAGAGAGCCTGAGGGCTAGGGTTGTGGCTCAGTGACAGAGCACTTGCCTTGCATATGTGAGGCACTGGGTTCAATTCTCAGCACCACATAAAAATAAATAAACAAAATAAATATATTGTGCCCATGTATAACTAAAAACATATTTTTTTTAAAAAAGAGTGTTTGATTTTTGATTGAATCATCAGCATAATTAAGGAGTACGTTTAAGCTGTGTCTAATCCTTCGACTCTCCCAGAGTTCATTTCCAACAGGAATATGAAAGAAAGAACATGATTTAAAGAATGAAGAAGAAAGAGAATGCACCAGACTTAACTTATTTACTTCTCCAGATTTGTCATCTATGGTTCCTGCCTGAGGACACTGTGCCCACACAGTACCACATAGTCCAATCATATTTTGGTAGGCCCAGAAGGAAACTTTCAATTTTCAGCTCATTGGGCTCTATCTCTGTTCATGGTCAAATGGATTATTGCAGTATTCCACCTGGTTGGCCACATGGGTTCCCTGAAGCTGCTTCTCCCTGGTCCCCCAAACTCCCTGTGGTGCAAACTGAGGGAATTCATCATATGCGACCCAGGTCCTATCCCATAGAGCACATATCCTGTGGGGCCATAACGCTACAGGAAGGAGAGATGCCCTGAGGTTGGCTGTGCATAGCGAATGCAGTTGCTGCAGCTGCTTTTGATGCTGCAATCTGGGTTTTTGAAGAAGTTGAGGAACACAACCTAGGAAGGCTGGCAGTTTAAGCATACATTGGGTATACATTGGGTATACAGTTAGAGGAAATGAAAAGATCTAGGAAATAAATTTATCTTTTCTTTTCCCCCCCAGGAGACATTTCAAGATGCATTAGTTGCATACTGCCTCCTGGAATGTGTCATGTGACCCTGAGCAACAATCAGAACTTGTTGTGAGTCTGAAGTCAGCCTGGTACAGCAGAATCACTTGTATGTGCTCCGTCTCTTCCACTGACCTGCTTGCCTTTTCTTCTCACTTCAGCTCCTCTGCAATTGAACCATTGCACCTCATAGTACGTTGCTAAGTGTCCAAATTGCCTCAGCCTCTATTTCCTATGAAATATGGGTTAAGACTGGAAAGTGAAATAATATTAGTATAATGTTGAGTTTGAGGCTCCTGTAGGACACATAAGTTAAAATGTCTAACAAGCAAATAGAGGAATACAAAAGTTAGTGTATCTGGGTTGAAGATAAAAACTTTTGCAGGGGGATGTCCTATAGTATACATCATTTGATATCCTTGGTCCATCATTTTAGATTTGAAACTTAGAAAGTTATCCTTTCACTTGGTGTCTGTTATTCACTAGCCATAAATCCTAATCTGTTTAGGATTACCACTGTGAATTACCCCAGTTTGTTTGCAAATTGTGTCTGTGTGTGTGTGTGTGTGTGTGTATTGTATGTAAATTGCCTCTTTTTATAAGGACAGAGGTCATACTGGCTAAAGGCCTACCATAATGAAATTATTTTAAAGACCTTTTCCCCAAATAATATCAGGTTCTGAAGTAGTAAGGATTAGGGCTCCAACATTTTTTGGAGGTGGGGGACTTGATTTAACCCATAACAATAGGCTTCAAATGACTGCCACAGCAACCCCAGTTTACAAGAAAAGTTAAGAATACTTATAATAGCATATTTAACAGAAGAAAATAAGTGAGAAAAATAAAACCTGTAGTTACTTTATATTTTTGTTGTTCTTGTGCATATAAAAATGTATCCGTGGCTTTCTTTCAACATTGAGAGAAATTGACAATAGAGGGAACATGGGTAAGGTTTACTTTCTCTGTATTTTCCTGAAATTTTCAAATGTTCTTCATTGTAGCATTTCAAGTGATCAGTATTCTAAAAAAACAAAAAAGAGTTACATATATAAATATCTTTAGATATTAAAAATAAAAGTATTGTCTCTCTTTGAGACTTAATTAGACCCTAAAATTCTATCTTAATGGTTCCAACTATTTAAATTCATCCACCCTGACCATTTGATAAATGAATAATATTTTTGTAAAGGTTTTTCAAACCTAGGTTTTATTAAATATATAAAAGTGTTACCACCATGGCTTTAGTTACCATTGAGCCCTCTCACAAATAAAAATAGGAATTGTGTATGATTTTCAAAGTATTGAATATATAAATTTTTTTTACATAGATATTCAGAAATAAATCTCAAGTAAGGTCAGTGAAGAAAGAAAATGGATTGGAAAAAGCTATGTGATGAGAAAACAGTGGTGAAGAATAAGACAAATCCTTTCTGGACCACTGAAGAACAGTACCAGGAAAACAACTGGCTGGGCTGTGTTGATTCTTAACCAGGTCATCAACTCATTTCTTTCTCCAGAAACCTAACTAATGCATATATATAGTATACACATAATTTTACATGGCATTCTGTGTGTTTGTGTATGTTTGTGTGCGCACACGCATGTGTAGGTATACATACATACAAGTGCTGTTAATAACATTATGGTTTGTTTTTTCAGGTTCATATGTGTACACACACACACATATGTGTGTGTATATACACATACTTATATGCTTTAGATATATATGCATTAGTTATATAAAGATGCAAATATCTTACATATAACTAATGCATTATATATATAACTAATTATATATATAGAGAGAAAGAGAACTAATGCATTAAATATATATAGTAAAAGTCAACAGCTTATTCATTTCAGCCAGAAATAAGTAAAACAGAATATTTTAGTAACTACTCAAATAATAGATCTAATCCTCCTTGAAATTTTCTCCTTGAAAAACTTCAGAGCATTGCCACAATTTTCTACTGTTCTTTGATTATAGTTTTCCAACACCAATGTACAAGGAAAGACATTAGGTAGTATGTATAATGCCATATTGAGCCAAAAATAATTGTTTTCTGATATGGGAAAATGTTAGAAATTAAAATAGGAAAGAATGGAAATGTGGAATGTATGCAGAGGTATATGAAAGGACCTATGAGAGCAACACCAAAACAATGTATTTTTTATCTGAGGCAGTCATATGACAAAGTTGGTATAGGCTCTGTCTGCTAGACACAAAGGAAGCCAAGTGCAAAGCTGACCAGGTGGGCTTTGCAGTCAGACTTTCTGGAGTTAAAAGCAAGCTTTCACCTGAAATACTGGCTTATTTATGACTATTTTTCCTTCCCTTGTCTTAGTTTCCTCCTCTGTAAAACCGCACAATAATAACTACCACCTGATTATTGTGCAAATTAAATTAGGAAACAAATGCAAAACAACTTTTCAGTCTCTAGAAAATAACAAGCTCCTAGACATTGTTAATTATTATTAATATTATTGCTATTGATTACTTAATTCTCACCACTTCTACATAGAGATTAAATTTTCACTGTGGTTAACATAGCTTAGATCCATGAAGAAGCCACTGGGAAATAAAATTATAATGTCTTACATCTAGACTGCTCATGTATTTAGAACCAATTCCTTTTGCTTTTCTAAGCTTTGTCAATATGGCAGGGCCTTATTAACACTTCTAAAGCACACTGGCATTGTGTGTTGATCCCTATCTCTTGCTGACTTAGACCCTTCTTGTCTTTTCTTGCCCTTTATTCTCTTTCTCTGAGACACATCAAGAAACAAAGAACTCTGGGTTTTGGTTGAGGCTTCAGCTTCTGAAGAGTTGATTTGTAGTAGAAATAGAAGCAGCACGCTTTTAACTTCGAAGGACATTTTATTTCAGAAAGCTGCTTTAACAGATCTCAAGGGATCAATATCAGAAGTGGTCGAAGTTAATGTTATGTTATTGGTCAGACAACAGGAGTTACCTCTTTGTAGCAAGAAATCTGAAACAATGACTAGCTGATTAAAACACAGATCACAAGTATAAAGACATTTACTGACATTTAAATATGAATATTCCATAGTTGGTTTCTTTCTTTCTTTCCTTCTTTCTTTCTTTCTTTCTTTTTTTCTTTCTTTCTTTCTTTCTTTCTTTCTTTCTTTTTGGAATGATTTTTAAGGCATATAATGTAGAAAGGAAATATGAAAGTGCCATTTACAGAACCACTATTTTGAGAAATTCAATAGTGCAATGAAGAAAAAATTGACACACTGGCACATAAACAGAGTAAAATAATCCAGATCTAAATAAGAAAAAAAGTAACAAGCCAAATTCAAGATTTAAATCTGTTTAAATTTTTTTCAATAGAAGAAAAAATCAAATATGAAATATGCACGTATTGTGTCATTGGAATAAGTACATAAGATACCATAAATTTTTGTATGTTCCTGTCACTGCCCTGTTTTTCCCTATCTTCTCAGGCACAGGAACAATAGTGCACTTAAAATCTTGGCATGAGATCACAGCCTCAATCGATTTCAGTGGGGCTTCAAAGGTGGAAATAAGAACTCACTAAGATCCCACTATATGTCAAGCCACTTCATGGGGATGAAATTAATAAAATCACAATGTCAACATATGTTCAACACGCAGGTGGAGTTGCTTAATTGCATTGTGTATACATTCTAACTTGGATGGGCTTATTCTAAAAAGCCTGGGAAATAATACACAAAGAAGAAAACAATAAAGTTACCATATGAGCAGTTGTCAATAAGGGCTTTGGTGGTGTTTGATTTTGAACATAATCTGGGTTTGCCTGCTGTAGATGCTAGTTGGTCTCTTGCTGTTCTTTTTATCTCACAAGCTAAGGGCTAAAATTCCCCATTTTTGTACATTTATGAGCTACTCTTTTTTAGGAGCTCATAAAAGTTCAAATTGAACAGTAACTATCTAATTTTGTATCTTCATGTGCACCGATTATTATTGAAACTGGCAATAAAATTTTTGCTGAGAGCAATGTTATGCATCATGTTCTAAGCTGGCTTTCTGGCATAGTATCACATGTAATGTTGTAAAACAGTTTGTTCTAGTCAGCCTCAACTGGAGCTACTGTAACAACATTTTGCAGATGATGAGACTTAATTGCACATAAATGTCATCTTTCAAAGATCCTAGAAACAGAGAATAAGAGCTGGATTTAAAAAAAAAATTATGTTAAAAAGGTCACCAGGAATCAGCTTGGATCAGGAGATTGGAGATGTCCAATATTTGATTTGAAAAAAGTTGCAAATATAATCTTAAATTGAAAGACAAAGCAGATACTTTTCCTACCTAGTAAGGCTAATCTTCTAAATAATCATTGTAACTCTAAAAACGCAGATTGTGTTTACCAGAATAATAAAGATCTAATTATAGATTTGCAGAAGTTACATAAAGCTTAATAAAATAAATGGCTTTTTTTTTTCAGCCAGATGACTCACAAAAAAGGAATGGAAGCCTACTAGAGAGAAATTTATTTTCAGTGATCCAGCTTCCAACATGAAACATGTAACCTATTATATAGTGACAAGCTGGTTATGCTTCATCAAACTGATTATATACTATTTCAAGAGGATGTAGTCCACTGGGACTTAAGTAGTCCAGTGTAATCAATTATAACAAGATGGATCAGCACGAGGTTGTAAAAATATCAAATCCCCCCAGCAATAGATCAGGACAGATAAAGTTCTGTATGTTGAGGATCCCTGGATCCTGACAGGTAGCCTATACTTACAGGGCCTTTATGGTTTAGTTGCAACCAATTTTTCTCTAAAGAAGTCAGCATAATAAATTGTTTTGAAATCTATCAATGAAACTGCCATTATCGTTAATAATAAAGCAATCCAAAGTTTTATATTTTCAGAATTCTTCTCTTTTCTAAATCACAAGTCATTTATTTCTCTATTTTTTTCTGACCACTTTAAATACCCACTTTTTCTAAAAACCAAATATCATAATCCTATACACACACACAAAAAAAATTTAAAATAAAAACATGGGAATAAAGAAGTGGTGGGAGACCAGGTATTTGGACAGGGGAAAAGTTGTAAGCATGGAACTTCTCTCTACTCTTGAGGGTGTCCATGACCAGCTGTGACTGGAAATGAAGGAAAGCAAATGTTCCTACCTTCCTAACTCCCTGAACGACAAAACTGATGTGTCAAGAGTGAAGAGCAGATCAGAGTCTCAGGACTGGAGAAACACAGACTCCCTGACCACATCACTTTCTCCTCCCCTTCCCATTTGAGTCCCATGCTAACCACAAGGAAATCTTATCTTGAGAAAAAATAATGCAGATAAACAATTCTAAACCATTTATGATACCTAATTTTGAGAATAGAAGGTAATAAAAACCAACAAAACCCATAGCTTCTCACTCCCATCTTATATTTGTTAGCCATACATCTCTGTATCTAAGGTACACTCTCTTCCTCCTCATTCTCCACTTCCTCCTTTCTCCTCCTTTTCTCTCCTATACTTCTCTCTCTACTGCCCTCCTCATTTCTCTCTTCCCTTGTCCTTCCCTCCCAGTTTCTCTGCTATGGTTTGGACATGGTTTGAGTGTGTCCCCCAAAAGTTCACCTATCACAACCTTGGTCCCCAAAGTGGTAATGTTGAAAGGTGGTGGAACCTTTAAAAGTTGGCATAGTGGGAGATAATTAGGCAATCAGAGACACAGAGACATCACCCACAGAAGAGATTAATGAGGCTCTTTCAGGACCAGTCTAAATCCTAGAAGAATGGGTTGTAACAAAGAGCTTGGTATCTCCCCTGAATCACCCTTCTGCACACTGCCAATTCCTGTTCCATTTCTCCATCATGTTGTGATACAGCCAAGGGAAAAACTCAAATTATCCTCTCAAATTTATGGGTCACAGAATTTTGAATATAGTGTGTTCTATAAACTCAAACATTAGCCTTAGGGCATCCTGTGGTGCTGTCCAGAAGTTTGACAACCATTGAATGATACCAAAATTGCTTACTAGTGAGAACCTGTCACAATCAAGCCTGACAAGTCAATCATCAAAGAGCAGAATGTGGGGCTGGGGATATAGCTCAGTTGGTAGAGTGGTGGCCTTGCATGCACAAGGCCCTAGGTTCCATCCCCAGCACTACACACACACACACAAAAAAAGAGGAGAATTGTTGGGGGTGATTAGAGTTCACAGTGGAAAGAGCACTCCAAAAAATCTTCAGTGTAGACTGAAACCTCCAAATCTGTTGCACACCATTCACTTTGTGGCCCAATTATTACCTGGTCTGTTGGAAAGATCATGATATTTGGAATTACACAGATGCTAGTTCAGGGATCAGTTCTTTCTCCCATCCCCTAACTCTACCCCAGCCTTCCTCCCCTGACAGCCCCAGTATTTTTATGTAATTTTTAAATAGTAATAACACTGTGCATGATTTTTGTTTTGTAATATCTTATATATAAATGGCCTAAGATATGTAGGCTTTTGATACAAACTTACAACTGACATTATTTTTTGTTTTGGGTTTGTTTTT